GCGTAGAATACGATGATTGGAGAAACCCATGTATTAATATAGCTACTAATGCCTGATCCTTTTATTGTTGAAAAACAATATAAGTGCTTCTGCTGCAAAGAGGAGTTTGCGCCTAATTTATGCGACACGTGTCACATCAACTTACGTTGTCAGTTGTTTCCTCGTGCCTTTTGATTTAAATAACCGTTAACCCGAATTCCTCTTTAAGACTACGCTTTTAAAATTTTAATAACTATGACGACGCTGTACCAAACAACTAGCGTTAACATGTAATCATCTACTGCTTTGACTTATTTGGTTACTAGTGTTGATTTAGTGAATCATACGGCACAATTTCAGCTTCCCACTCTCATCACACGTCACAGTTTGCTTACAAGACTACATATTTGTGCTAAAATGCATAAACATGGATTTTATAATGAGGTATGGTAGCTATTTTTCCAATTTTTCACCCAACAGGAAATCGCTATCAGACTCTCTAACGCACCAGTCATTTCCACTGCTCTAGTAATGTAAGAACGAACTCAGTGGTGCAGATGAAGAAGTATTGCGTAAAATGTAACACCCAAACGATGCCTAAACAATGCCAACTGGGGTAGGCGAAGGTATTAATAGGTTAGGAGAGTAGCATCATAAGATTATAGGGATGAAAAGAAAATGTTTTTCGGGACAGCCGAGCCTGTCCACGCTCGGCCAACGCGGCTCCCGTTTACGCAGAGCACCTCAGGCGTGGGAACCCGTAGGAGCCGAAAGTCGATGTCCTTGAGTATCGGCTGGGAAACCTCAGTGTCGGAATCATCTTCATCAATATTCCCACCTCCCTCAGCTCGAACACAGGCGTCGAAGGTAGAAATGAGATTGAGAAGGGAAGCAGGTATTACACAGTGTTCAACTGTGGGGTTGGAAATAGCAATGGTGTCCCGCATTGAGGGGCCTGAACCCTGGAAATAAGTTGAGAAAGGCATTTAGTAAATCAAGCAAACGATGGGGTCCTCCAGATTTCTAGTAATATTTACTTCAACCTACACATCTGTAGTGAATCATAGTGTTGATTCCTGTATATTAACCCGGTCGTCAAATGCTCAGACTAGCGGCCCTCCCTTTAGACGGCGTCCCCATCGATCATGCGGAACGATCTGCAGCACACAAACTTCGCTTGCTAAACATTCCTTTCATTTGGCTATTCAGCCATTTGTACTTTTACTAGTCCCCCTTTAGTCAGACACGACCTTTCATGCCCGGTGGCGCCATGATTGCACGATTTGGTCCAGTGTCGCTCCAGGTGTCTCATTTCTCCTCTGAGTACTTCGTGCCGCGCCCAGCTACAACAAATTGACGACCCCGAGGCATCCTCGCATTAAGTCGCCGACGTTTCCTGCATATGAACTGATATTTAAACAACTACAGCTAATAAAGCATGTGCTGTCGGTGACACGTGAAATCAAACACGATGGCACTTGTGGGATTGAGCGTGTAGTTTCTGCTATTTTTACCTACCTCCTACCAAGTCCTTTGTTCAGGCGGTGTAGGTGTAAGCCGTAAAAAAGGATAGAAAATAGCTTCTTTTATCCTCCTTTTTTCCTCTAATTTTTGGACACACAATTAAGAGATTTTTTCGCTTTAAAGTGGCAAAATACCCACAGGTTCCCATTTATTTAAGATGAGCCCTTAGCTGAACGTGTTCGAAAAAAGATAAAGGCAACGTGTCATTTACAGCTTGTCAGGTTTTTTTTCGAGAGGGGCAGAGTAGAGGATGTTGGGACGCATGAAAGCCAACCAACCTTGTTCGAAAGCAATGCGCTGATAATTGTTCCCTTTCCTCGAGAAAAAATGCTGAATTTAAAGGTTGGCTAAACTGAACACTAACTCGGTCAGTTTTAATGGCTTTGGAATGGAGATTTGAAAAAGTGCCCGAGGCGCTTAATTGCTTAAAATATATTGCCAAAACCCCAAAAGAACATTCGGCAGGACACAAAAGGCTGGACCAACGGTCCTTTGCTCGATTCAGAGACGGACGAATGCTTGCGGGAGTCCCATGCGATCCAAAGCTATGTGAGTTAAAAACAAACTTGACATTAGGCAGTCGCGTGGACATGGTAAAATTACACGTACAATACGAAATGATTAAGCGAACACAGCAATTTAGGACAGCGTGGCGAATCAGGCAACAGCGATACAAGCACGACGCTATTGATAGAGACAGCAGATAAACAGAAGTGAAGTTATTGGGGCGAGACTGACTTCTACTGAGATCTATGGCGGCGATTACCAGAACTGTAACAAAGCCGCTTGAATTCCAAACTTATTAGACAATGAGCCTGGATGTGTAAAAGCAACTTGAGAAAAATTGCCGCAAGATCACTTCGATGTGTCAGCTTCTATGCACAAATCTAGACGGCTTGCTCTTGGGCTGGTTTTGAAGAGTAATTATTAGAAGAAGATCAGCAGAGAAAAGGCACTCAAAGACCCAACCATCGATAAAAAACAAAGTTAGTGAATAAACGAGAGTGATCACCAGCTTTTCAATTTTTTTCGATGATTGCTATCACACAAGGAAACAGTGGACGGTGATTTTGTTTATGCAGGCGTTGGGATGACATAGGTAGAAAAATGAGAGTAAAACAGAGAGACAGCATGAAAGTTTTCTATAGATTGGCGTTCGGTTAGATGGAAATAGGGAGTTTATCTATCTTCCATTGTAAGCAATGAACTATTTTTTATTCCAACAAAATCAACATTCAGATTCATAGTTTTAATAATACGAACTTGCACAAAATTGTTTGGGATCCAGGATTCCCCAAGATGACTCATCGCCAATTATTCGTCGTTGTTTAAACTAGTCCCCTAACCACGCCACGTCAGCGGGTGAGTCAACCACGGCACCCTACTGACAACCCCAACTGTGTTGATACGCTTGCCTCCATCAGATCAAGGCCAAACTTGACTTATGTAAATGTTGACATTCTGACAGATCACGCGACCTTTGGCTGAAACGACAACAGCTCTCTCCACGACCTCTGGTCCTGTCTTGCATTATCGTGAGAAGGTCGGTTCTAGCGTCAGACAAGGGATCTGGGTACCCATTATCTTAGTGGATGTTTTCTTGGTTACGGGCAAACGCAACAACGATATCCACAGGCAGCAAACGCATGAATTCTTAACTGAGCTTCTGTTTATTTTATAATCGCACTACAACTCTATTATTTAGGCGCGTCATGAATCGACACAGTCTTAAAATGAATTCACTTGATTTAAATTGCGTGCTGGATTATTGTTTAAAATACGTTTCCGTCATTTTACGTTACACTAGCCTAAAGCGGGGCTAGTGTTGTGACTGCAGCGACGATAATCTAGACTCTTGCTTGGATCGTGCTCTTGGTTTTAGAACAGCGACAAGTGGTGTAGTCGACTTCAAACTGGTGCCATCAACATAAATGATACTCCGGCATTGCCAACGACTCTATCTGCGATTTGGCAAACAATATTCCACGGATTACCATTGAAACGATTGTTGGCAGACTTGTGGCGACCGGCAAGCCAGCACAGTCAGCATTCGTGAGCGAACACAAATCAATCGATTTTCACCGTGAAGGCACCGTTGTGGTCAGGCGGCCACCGCGCGTGAGTGCTGCGTGTGGGCTTGTCCGACTGTACCAATGACTCACCCTCTTTGCTATTGGCTCTTGTTAGCAGTCGCCTGTAACGCACGCGTATTGATACGCACAAAGAAGGTAGTTACTCGATTTTACTCGACTTGACTGGCGTGACGCGAGTAAACGGTCGTGTTCTCTTTCGACTCTTTGT